GTTCCGTGGGATCTGCGGCGGGCCCGGTCTGTGCGGTCGTCCGTGAGCCAGCACAGGATAGAGGCCAGGAATTGGTCTTCCGCGGGTCCGACTATAACCGATGGCTTGGTAGCCCCGCCCCGGCCCGCCCCCACAGTACCTACTGGGCTAGGGGCGGGGGCTGCTAGGAGAAACTAGCTGAGTAGTGGCTGGCCAGAACAGCTCTCGACGCCCCGCTGGGACCGTCCCTGCTTCCCCTGCTTCCTTTTCCTCCCCCAGTGGAGCTGCCTGGGACGGAATCCTGGGACCACTGGCCTCAGGGCACAGGATAGGGGTAGGGGCTTGGGGCCTAGGGATGCCCCCTTGTCTTAAGGTCCTTCAAGTGGGGTACCAGCAGAGCCAAGGGTAGGAGGCTGGCTCACCTCCAATGGGGTAACACAGAGGGTTTCATTGGCTCCTTGGACACCATTCAAGACCCCTATATGTGGCTCATCCCCAAAAGCTGCCCCATCAACCAATTTCTAAACTGTAGCAGGATGGATGCTTGGAAACACCAAGTTTGGCTACCTTAAGCACTCCCTGAAGGGGTCAGTGGTTCCCCCCAAGGCCTCTAGGTAAAGAGGCAGCCCCCTCAAAAAAAGAGACAACCCATTCTGCACCCTAAGCCCCTACTTAGGAGGATGGGGCCCTGACAACCCCTTAAATACCTCTTTTCTGATCATGGATCCCTCCCAGTCCACTTTGCCAATCAGACTCATTTATTTTGGTCTTAATCAATAACCTGTGATTTGCCCACTTCTGTGCTGAGAATATTTTTCCTTTTCCTCTCTACCTGGCAAAATTCATCCTTCAAGACTCCACTAAAATGGCCCCAGTCTGAATAGACCCTCCAAGAATTCCTCCAAGACCACTTGGGTTTAATATCCCCCCACCTGAGAACAGGACCTAATGCAGTCTTTCCTGACGCCCCCGCCCAGGGTGAATCCGACTCCTCCTTTGAAACTGGGGATAGTAATAATGGGTACCTTATCATTGGATGCATTAATTAGCCACTTGTGGGGCTCGATAAATGCTGGTAACTAGAATCCATTGTAGCTGTTGCAGAGGCTGACCAACTCCTGAACTGTCAGGAAAAACAGTGAGATGGAGGGCGAGCAAAGGATGCAGAGAGCTGCCTACCAGCATGGATCCTGGAGGACCGCTGGGACTGAGCCATCAAGAGCTGCCCCCACAGTGCTCCCCTGGGGCCCTGCAGCCTTGAGAGCCACCTGAAGTGTGTGGTGGGTGGGTGATGCAGGCCAGAGCCAGGCTGCCAGGGTCCCTTAGTGCTGCCACCTACTTTGGATCAAGGAGCCCCAGGGGACTGCAGTCCAGCTGGAGAGGATCTCAGGTGTCTCTTGGAGGTGGCCCGGGGAATACAAAACAATATGAAAACAATTGTTTCTGCTGGGATGGAAGTCCACTGACAGTTGGAAAATTGAAATAGAACACAGATAAATTTCAAAAATACAGTGATTCACAAAGGGAGATGCTACCACTTCCTGATGCTTAAATAATGGCAGCGGGTCCCCTCATCTTGTTTACGCCTATATGGCCTAAGGGAGTGAAGATATCAGGGTACAGGGGAAGTGTAAAGGCTGCATGGCCACAGAGGAAGGGGGTGCCCATCAGCTGGGGGTGCGGAAAGGTAGGGCTGGGCCAGGAGAACAAAGCATAGGATCATGCCCCCAGGTTGGGATGCAGATGGAGGGCTTTGGACCCTGCCTCATCTGGAGCCCAGGGTGCCTGGTGACACAGCCTTAAGGGTCTAGAGCCAAAGCTCCATTGGGGCAAATACTAGTCTCCAATGAAGGGCCTAATAATCCATGGAAGCTGACCCTCCTTCCCAGGGTTCACCTCTCATACCCCCCCGCCCACCCCAACAGTTCCTCTTAGAAACTGATTGGTCACGGCTAGGATTTTGCAGACCCTCCCTGGCCCTAAACAGGACCTCTGTAGTATGTATACAATATGTGAGCAAATTTTTCTTGTCAGTTTTGTTACTTTGGTGGCACTGAGGATTGAATTCAGGGCTTGTGCATTCTAGGCAAACACTCTACCCCTGCACTGCATCTCCAGACCCCTTTATTTTTAATTTTAAAACAAGGTCTCACTAAATTGCCCAGACAGACCTTGAATTTGTGATTCTCCTGCCTCAGCCTCTGGAGTAGCTGAGATTACAGACACTTACCACCACACACCTTTTAAATTATTCTTATGCTGGGTGTGGTGGTGCACACCTGTAATACCAGCACTTGGGAGGCTGAGGCAGGAGGATCATGGAGGCTGAGTTCCAGACCAGCCTGGGCTATATAGTGAGTTTCAGGTCAGTCTCAACTACAGAGTGAGACCCTGTCTCAGAGAAAAAAAAAAAAAAAAGCCCTCAACCGGGCCGGGGATTTAGCTCAGTGATTCTGCCACCTGCCTTGCAAACACAAGGTGAGTTCAATCCCTGGTACCAAAAAACAAAACAAAATCCTCAACCTCAGTACCACTAGAGGAACGTATTTAATATATATGATATATAAAGTATTTACAAGATAGGCATACAGTGGCTTAAAGAATCAGGCAGAGGAATGCAGAACGGCTGTCTGTGGCTAGAGAGCTGGAGGGTCCAGCGACAAGTTGAAGGCCTGAAGCTCCCTGTAGAGTCCTGTACCAGAGCAGTAAACTGAAGGGTCTGTGATGGAAAACTGAAGAGTCTGCATTGAAAGCCTGAACCCAGATACCCAAAGGTGGGAAAAGCTGGAGCTCTTCTGAAAAAGCAAAAGTGACGTTTCCTTCTTCTTTCACATTTTTATTCCATCCAGGCTACAAGCTTATTGGTTGGTGCTACCCACATGCAAAGTGGGTCTTCCCCCATCAGTAAGTCAATCATCCAGGACTGTGCTAAACTAATCCGCAAGGCATTTCTTACTCAAGTGGAGTCTACAATGAACTATTACAGGGTGTTTCTTGGCACTTCAGAATGTTTTGCAGCATCCCTGTCTCCTGCCCATGTGTGTAGGCAGAATAACACCTCCCATCCCAACGTTCACTCTCTAATCCCTGCAATCGTGAATATTTGTGCAGCATGGCAAGGGGAGTTAAGGCTGCAGGCAACAGTGCTTTGCAAGGCATAGTGGCACATGCCTGTTGTCCCAGCACTTGGGAGGCTGAGGCAGGAGAATCACCAAGACTTCGAGGCTAGCCTGAGCTACATAGCTCAAGACCAGCAGCCTTAACTACACAGCAAGACCCTGCCTCAAAACAAAACAAGAAACCAAACACAAAACACACTGCTAATCAGCTGACCCTCATATCAGCAGAGGTACCCTGAAATACCTAGGTAGGCCCAACATGCTCACAAAGGTTCATAATGGTGGCAGAAAGGGGCACTGGAGAGGAAATGTGATGAAAACAGAAATAGGGCTCAGAGAAGCCCTATTTATGGCTAAATGGATGCACATTGAGGCCATACTCGTAAGTGAAATAAATAGGACACACGTGTGTAAATACCAAATAGCTTCTCTGGTGTGAGAAACTAAAAGTGTAATTAAGGATCAAAATGTATAATTGATAATGTGAAACAGGAAGAAAAGGTCTAAAGAGGTAGGGGAAGTGGGAGGGGCAGGGATAGGATAAAGGAAAGAAGAGAAATGAAAAATATGAAAAAATGGAAAAAAGTCTCTAAATAGGAAGGGGTAGAGGGGTAGAAGGGAGGGCAGGGGAATGGGTAAAAAAGAACCAAGATACATCATGTAAGGTACAAGTTACTAATGAATTGAACTGTATTTTATGTCTAAAATGTAGCAATAAACTTAATGGGGAAAAAAAAGAAAAAGAAATAGGGCTCAGAGGTGAAGCAAGAGACAATAAGCCACAAAGAAACAGGGAGCCTCTAGCAGCTTAAAAGATGAAGTAGGAGCAGGTCCTGCCCAGCAGGCCAGGAGTCTCCAAAAGGAAACACAGGGTAACCACACAGGACTTCTGAAATATAGAACTGTAAGAAAATAAACCTGTGTCATTTTAAGCCACAATATTTGTGGTAATATTCTACAGCAGCCATATGGAACTAATACACTACTTGATGTCACTGTGACTTAAAACCCATTCAGAGATTTCTAGAAGTCTCCTGAGTGGCTGGGGCAGTAACGCCCTTGGTTGAGAACCATTAACCTAGGTTATAAACTATTTTTTGTTTTAGACATCATCAAATGATGATGTTTTCTCTCACAACCCAATCACTGTACTTTCCCCTCTTCCATCCTCCTAATACGATCTTATTATCGCTTTTGGTTAAATCATTAGTGTCTACATATAATTTGTTAACACTATCAATAAATACTATAATACAGGGCATGGTGGTACATCCCTGTAGTCCCAGGCACTAGGGAGGCTAAGGGAGGAGAACTGCCAAGTTCAAAGCCAGTTTAGGCTACCTGGCAAGTTCAAGGGCAGTCAGAACTACACATTGAGATGCTGTCTCAAAAAGACAGAAACAAAGTGGTGGCCCACGCCTGTAATTCCACCACTCGGGAG